GTAGCATCATAAATTTGATCTCGTGCTTTGTTTCTACCCCAGCCCCATCTTTCTATTTCCTGACACGCCTTATTTATTTTACAGATGCGACCAAGGATTGGTACAAGCTGATTAACCAGCAAGTGGGCATTGACAAACACCAGAGTGTGGCATCTGACCACTATCATGAGATGAAACAGTTCCGCGCCCAGCGCAACTCGTACTTGGCCTTCTTCGCTCTATTCTTATTAATGTATGTCATGCATTATTCACACATACACACAAGTGCCGCGTGTATGTATGTATGTGTGTTTATATGCCTGATCGTACCTGGCCTTCTTCGTTCTATTCCTATTAATATATGTCATGCATTATACACACTTACACACAAGTGCTGTGTGTATGTATGATGTGATTTTATATGCCTGATCGTACCTAGCCTTCTTCGCTCTCTTCCTATCAATGTATGTCATGAATTATATACACATACACGTGTGTACTGTGTGTATGTATGTATGTGTGTATTTATATACTTGATCGTACCTGGCCTTCTTCGCACTCTTCCTATTAATGTATGTTATTACTCACATACACGCACATTGGTTTGCACACATTGGTTTGCACCTCGAATGGGCCATTACGACAATTAAAGCCGCGTATGATTGGTCCTCGCATAGTACTCACCCTGTACGCCTCCCAAGTCCTCGGACACCTGTACCGGTCCAGAACCTGTCGGGCGGGTCATCACACATACCTACTTCCCCTTCCTTAGGTACTTCAGTCCCAGTTAAATTGATAGGGCACAGCCAATCCTATTGACGGTAAACGTATACACATCAACATCAGAAACACTGACGGTACGAACCTAATCCTTGCTGCATTTCACCTACCGTTACCAGTGTGCTGTGGCGGTTCTACCTTCTCTCCAAACAGGTGATCAAAGCCGAGGCTATTGGCAAGCAGGCTAGTGGGCAGGGCAAACAGATTGAGGTGTGTGGTTCAATCCAACGTCTTTGTTTTGAGTGAATTGTACTGGTCATCAAATGCGCCAGCGGACTGGGCTCTTGTGTAGTTGCTCTGGGCGGTTAGTTGAGGATATGCATTCATGCCTTGCTTGTTAATCACCAACTCACATCTGGATGTGTGTGTTTGTCATAAAGTTCTTATTTCAAATGATATATATACATACCTCGAACATTTGCATAGTGTGGCATAGATATAGTACGCGTGTACATATATGTATATATATATATATATATATATATATATATATGAATTTATGACTGTACGGCAGCACATTTTTACATACTGCACAGCACATATGTCTGCGTTCAAACAACTGAGCATATTCGCCACCGCTTTAAGCTCCTACCAAGATATACATTGATTTGTCTAGCAGCGATCTATACATTGATTTGTCTAGAAGCGATCGAGTTTGTTGTCTTCTGAATGTTATATTGAGGTGGAAATGCACTCACATCCCCCGCCCCAAAGTGCTACATATCCTCCACGTTTGCAAGCGATACTAACACGTGTTGGCTGTTGCAAGTGTTACTACCACGTGTTGGCTGTTTCAAATGTTACTAACACGTGGTGGTGTCTCAAGTGTTACTAATACATGTTGGGTAAGACACATTCTCTGCCCATTAACAAGCAATGTATATTCTGCGCTGGCGCTTAGCGAGAGCGCTCGTGTTGACCTTCATTACGGATATTAGAATAGACGCATAAGGAGTCATAGGGTTCTAGGGGTTGAAAAAGACACATAAGGAGTTAAAGGTTTAGAGGGGATTGACCTGTTATCTTTATTGCCGTTCCAGAAATTCATGGACGCTGCGGCGAAAGGAGAGAAGGACTCCAAGGAGCTTGTCAATGTCAAGAAAGGTGTGTCGATATTAAGGGTATCCGCGTACCAGTAT